TATCCCATGGTACTCTACCAAGCAGGTCCCTGAAGAGGCCAAAGTCTGCTCTCCTGAAGTCCATGGTAGCAAGCTTGCTGTGCGGCCTCCTCGCTGCCTTAAGGGTCTTGATCTCTACCATTCGATGGTCAAGCAGCCAAGGCTGCCCTTGAGCTTCACATTTCCCACCAGCCCTGCCTTTTTGGTGAGAAGAAGGTCCAGTATAGAAGCTCTCCTTGTTGGCCCTTCCATCACTTGGAGAAGGAAGTTGTCATCAATGCATTCCAGGAACCTCCTGGATTGCTTATGCCAACAGATACCGAGGTGGCTGAAGTCTCCCATGAGGACCAGGGCTTGTGAACGTGAGGTTGCTCCTATGTGTCTATAGAGGGCCTCATCTGCTCAGTCTTGCTGGTCCAGTGGCCTGGAGCAGTCCCTTCCACATGATTCACTGAGCAGGGAGGGGGTACGCTCTGCTGCATCGAACTTGCACTGAGGCAGCTGGAGGATAGAAAGAGGAGCACACAGGGAAATAGCAGTGGATGCGAAGAAACTGTTCTGCCCTTGCTCGCCAGGGCAGTAGCACTCTCAGTCACATCCAGATGGGACCACGCTTCCCAGACAGCAGCAGTTACAGGTAGTTGGCCTTTCTTACTCCGGACACCATGACACAGCATCACCTCAAGGTTCAGCAGAGCAATGCGGCAGGAGGCAGCAGCTCTCTAGTGACTTTCCGACAGCTAGAGATCTTCAGAAGCAGCCCTGCATTTTGCATGAGGCAAGTGGGAAGGTGCTGCCTGTTATTAATGCAATTTCCCTGACCTCAGCCCTCCCCAAGCAGCAGGTCTCTCTGCTGTGTGTTGGTCTCTGTCCACCTCGGCTGGAGCCTCTAAGAGGACTGGGCAACCACTGCTGCAGGCTGACTTGGGAAAATCCAGGGGAGGGGGATGAAAATGCGAATTTCTGCAAAGGCAAATGGGATTCATCTAAATAATACAGCTAAAAACTCCGTTACATGATTTCATCAGTGACAGAGAACACGTGCAATGAGAGACAAAAGTCTTGCTCCGTTCTTAATTGCTCTTCTTACCTTGTTTTTTGTAATGATCTTGAGACAAAGTATTGGCATAGGGATTGAAATACCCTCCTTTATAGTGTTGCAGCATAGAGAAATCCTCGCTGTTGATTACCATGTCTGGTTATCTTCTAAGGATGAAGAATATTCATCTTTAGGATAATCTCTCTGGTCTCTTTAATAACTATGGCATTTATTTTGTTAAGTAACTTATTTATTGCTAACTTAATAGCAAGGGAACATCATGTGGTAGCTCTTAAGTCTGCACTATAGTAAAATCTAGGCAAAATGGACAGCACTTATCTGTATTCTTCTAGTTGTATTTGTATCCTTCATGGTTTTTAACCTATTTTAAAAGACTTTTTGCAGCCTGTGCACTTGTGCTGTATGTTTGGGTATTACATTTAATTCCTTTATTGCTTTGTTTAGTGGAGGAGCGCAATTTTGTAGAGATGCACAGATGGCCTTCCAATTTGTACCTGAAGCAGCTTGCTGATTACAGGAACTATGTCCACTCTCAGAAATGCCATTGCACAGTAATGTAAGAAGACTGAACATGCACAGAGCTCATCTCGACTGGAAAATCTCAGACTGGGAATTAGACGGAGTATAAAAATCATGTAAAGAGCAAAACCAGATACTGATCTCCCCTGGAACGCTGTATGTCATGCTGTAGTGCACTTACTAACATTCCTTGCTTTGATAATAAATCACTCTACTTTTTTTTGCTTGAAGCATTGGGAAATGTATCATGAAGATTTCTTTCAAGCACAAGGATTTCACACCTATGGGGATTAAACACAGTATGGGACTGTGTCATGACTGTTGTCTGTTCTCCCTTCTAACTCCTTTGCTGTTTGTTTTGTTGGTTTTCGTGATTTTTTTTTATGTTAAACCACCACCTGTGGAAAACAGATATTTTTGTAAATCTGTGTAGAATAGGAGCACAGCAGCAGTGCAGGGAAGCTGAGAAGCCAACTCCTAAGTTCTTTAAATATTTCAGGATGCAAAAATTTACTGCAGCATCTGCTGGTTTGCAAAGTAAATAGTAGGCTTAAGAAGCATTTTAGTTACTATTCATTTTCTACTGCAAGTTAACTCTGTAGTTCCTTTTACTGAGACTTTTACAGTCGTATGAGTGGATATTTTAATTCCAGAGGAATGCCTATGCACCACTATCTTCCCTAGTGCCTCCCAAACATCTAAAAATTGAAATTACTTTTCCTCCCAGTAAATAGGAGAAGAAAGTCTGTTTTAATACTCCGTAGAACACCTTTGTTAGTGTGGTCATACTGTGTTTTTCCCCCTGAGGAAAACAGGCAGGGAGAGCTAAGTCCACTCAGAGCATATCCGTACGGTACTGGTGGGGACAGGGAGGACAGGGAAGGAGCTTGACAGCCATTCGTAGGTTTTGTGGGGGAAAACTCACTGGCATGAGTGACTTTTTTGGGAAAAGTGGGTCTTGCAATCCTATGTCTCCCCTGGCAGCTGACAGCATAAATGTTGGATGTGCTGGTCGTGGAGGGAGGTGACCCTCATGGGTATGCCAGTCCTATGAGGAATGTCGCCTTTTGTAACGGGACTTTGAGCTTGATCCTCCCCAGTGGGGACTCGCTTTAAATTGAGTTATCATCATATGCTCATAAGCTACACCATGTGAGACAAACCCGATTATCTTTTGTGGCTGCGTGGATTCTTTTTCAGATATAACAGATAAATCCTGAATATCATGACTAGGATGACCCTTGCAGATACTGTTGAGAGTTTTCTTAACCTAAATTGTTCATTTGTCATGCCACTAACTGATATGTATGTAGTAATATTAATGACAAGATGAACTCAGCCTTTATGTAAGGCTATCTATCTGAGCATAGGTACTTTCCTGAAAATGAAATCTTGTCAAGGGACTAAACGCTTCATTATTATTTCTTGTACTTTTGGTTCTGCTTTGCCAGCTGCCTTGAATTTTGGTACATAGTCTGAGCCTAGAAAGACAAAGAAAAGACACCGAAAAAAATTATTTAGTGTTTCCCCAATGTCCATAGTAGGCCATCTCAAATGTACCTGGAAACTACAGCTGTGAGACAAAGGTGGAACAGTAAATTGCTGGAGCTGAATCTTTTTTTTTGCTTCTAAGAATTGTTTTTGTATTTCCATACAATTTTCTACGTAAATTGTTCTTTTAAAATTCCATGCTAGAGTCATAGGGATTTTTTGTTTTTTTTCCTGTTGGTGTTTGGTATTTTGCGGAGGTTGAGAGGGTATTTCCCTTCCTATTTTTGAACACACACAAAAAAAAAAAACAAAAGAAAAAAAACAGCTTGTGACTCAGCTGGCTGCTGCAGGCTCAAAATTCTGATGTTAGTTTTATGTAGGAATGAGAATTCTTTTTTTCTTTTTTCCCCGCTTTTCATCTGGAGATTCTGAAGTTCTTTAGAAGATGAGATATACTTATCTACATCTCACATATAAGGAGTCTGAAATATAGAGCATTACATTGCTTTTTCGAGATCACTAAAGAAAACTGAAAATGTTAAAGGAAAAAAAATGAATTAGAAAGTAGTATGTATTGAACTTAAATGTGAATAAAAGGTCATTTCCTAGCATTATAGTAGAAATTAAAAATTTTAAGTATCAGTTAACTGGATAGATACAAATAAAACTTACAGTTTTTTGAAGCATAAAGTAATGAACAAAAATGAACATACAGTTGAACTACAGCTTGCCTGAACACCTGGTGGCATCTTCAGTCACAGCATGTGCTTCAACCAGCAACCAGCTCAATTATCAAAAGTATGGATTATATGCGTCATGCAGACTTTTTGTACAGAACTGATACAAAAGTTGTGTGAATGTTTGTCTGCCTTGCATGTAGTCCTACATTTTTAATACTTTGAAAGCTTTCCCAGGTTTTTTGCTAGAAGTTAGTCTCTTGCCAATAATTTAAGTATAGATAACAAATAACAAAATACTATTTTTAACTTTCTGTAAATGTTTTATAGGCATTTAAAAATAGGCTTAACAGAAATACAAACACTTTATAGCCAACCAAGAGAAATATTTTGCTATTATGTATTTTAGTCAGTGGAAACCACAGGTTTTATACAGAGACACCAGGCAGTGTAAAAATATTTATTATTTATTCACAGATTAATGCATACTACTATTCAGACATTAAAACAGCATTCCATTTTACTGGGTATCCCATAATGCTGCCTGTATCAGGTACAATGTGCTGTCCTTGCAGACATAGCCCCTCTGATAAATTTAAATTCTTGGAAGAATTCTTACTATAAATTCTTACTTTTATTCTGTATGATGATTTTCTGTAGAAAGGTATTCATCTTAAAGCTATTTTTAAAACTCATACTTTAACATTCGGATGTGTGACTGGAAGTAGACTGTGATGCTTGGTGAATTGCTGTCGGCAGTTTTGTTTAGTGGAGGCTTTAGGACCATATCCATCACGGACAGTCAGGAATAAGGGCAGTACTGAATTTAGTATTTATGAATAACTTTGTATGGTATAAAGTAAAAATTGCTATGGCATAAAAAAAACCCCTTTATACTATGGTATAAAGTAAAAATCAGAAATTATCTGAAAAAAACCATTATTTAAGCAGGTGGTTTTGAAAAAAGTAAAATGTCTGAGGAGAAAGGCTTCCACTGGTCCTGGCATCTCCCACCCTCCCAGGGCATCAGCAGCATTGCTGTCAAAAAAGGAGGCTGGTGGCAAATTTGGGTGCCCTTAGGCAGGTCATAGAGGGTTTAGGATTACAGCTTCAGACTTAGGTTCAAGGGGAGTTTCAACTCCCAAGTCCTTCATTAGAGCTAACTCTCAAAATCCACTTTTAGAAGACAATTTTTTGAATAATGGATACTTACTCACTGTATACTTACTGCTGTACCGATACATATGTATGCTTGTCCCAAGCTAGAGCTAAGCTTTATAGAGACTAACAAAGAAAGCTTTCTGCACTAATGATGTTCTCCACATGATAGTTAAGAAACCTTTGCTATCATCCTTTAGGTCTTGGTGTATTTGATTTGGGAAAAACAAAGGAAGAAAAGCTATTTTATTAGGCATGTGCTGAAAATCCTGTATGTTTTTCTTTTAATATACCCTGACTAAATATATATGTTTTTAGGCTGAATATGTAAAACTTTGTTAGAAAATAAAAATTTTTCTCTAGTCAGTCTCATGTGATTGTTTACCCATGTGCATTAGAAGATTTGAGCATTACGCTGGAAATATTTTTTTGTAGCTTATTAGAATCATAGAATAGTTTGGGTTGGAAGGGACCTTTACAGGTCACCTAATCCAACCCCCCTGCAATGAGGAGGGACATCTTCAACTAGATCAGGTTGCTCAGAGCCCCATCCAGCCTGACCTTGAATGTTTCCAGGGATGGGGCATCCACAACTTCTCTGGGCAACCTGTGCCAGTGTCTCACCGCCCTCGTTGTAAATTTTTTTTCCTTATATCTAGTCTGAACCTACCCTCTTTTAGTTTAAAACCATCACCCCTTGTCCTATTGCTACAGGCCCTACTAAAAAGTTTGTCAGCATGTCTCTTATAAGCCCCCTTTAAGTACTGAAAGGTTGCAACAAGGTCTCCCCAGATCCTTCTTTTCTCCAGGATGAACAACCACAACTCTCTCACAGGAGAGCTGTCCCATCCCTCTGCTCATTTTCGTGTCCCTCCTCTGGACCTGCTCCAGCAGGTCCCTGTCTCTCCTGTGCTGAGGACCCCAGAGCTGGATGCAGAACTGCAGGTGGGTCTCACCAGAGCAGAGCAGAGGGGCAGAATCCCCTCCCTCGACCTGCTGGCCACGCTGCTTTGGATGCAGACCAGGATGCAGTTGGTTTTCTGGGCTGCAAACACACATTGCCGGCTCACATCCCACCTTTCATCCCCCAGTACCCCCAAGTCCTTCTCCACAGGGCTGTTCTCAATCCCTTCATCCCCCAGCCTGTACTGATACCGGGGGTTGTCCTGACCCATGTGCAGGACCTTGCTCTTGCCCTTGTTGAACCTCATGAGGTTCACATGGGCCCACTTCTCCAGCTTGTCCAGGTGCCTCTGAATGGCATCCTGTCCCTCAGGTGTGTCAACCACACCACTCAGCTTGGTGTCATCTGCAAACTTGCTGCGGGTACACTTGATCCCACTGACTGTGTCACTGGTGAAGACATTAAACAATGCTGGTCCCACCACTCATCACTCTCCATCTGGACATTGAGCCATTGACCACTACCCTCTGGATGCAACTATCCGACCAATTCCTCATCCACCAAACAGTCCATTCATCAAATCCATTTCCCTCCAATTTAGAAAGAAGAATGTTGAGGGGGACTGTGTCAAAGGTCTTACAGAATTCCAGATAGATGATATCCATGGGTCTTCCCTTTTCCACTGGTGCAGTCACTCCATTATAGAAGGCCACTAGGTTGGTCAGGCAAGACTTGTCCTTGGTGAAGCCAGACTGGCTGTATTGAATCACCTCCCTGTCGTCCATGTGCCTTAGCAGAGCTTCTAGGAGGATCCGTTCCATGATCTTCCCAGGCACAGAGGTGAGGCTGACCGGTCGGTAGTTCCCAGTGTCCTCCTTTCTACCCTTTGTAAAAATGGGTGCAATGTTTCCCTTTCTTCAGTCACTGGGGACTTCACCTGACTGCCACGACTTTTCAAATATCATGGAGAGTGGCTTGACAGCTACATCAGCCAGTTCTCTCAGGACTCTGGGACGCATCTCATCAGGTCCTGAAGACTTAGGTATGTTCAGGTTCCTC